TGTGTTATCAACATTATTCTCATACTAAATCCAAAACCACAGCACTGTACCAGCTACTAGGAAGAAAATTAACTCTATCCCAGCTGAAACCAGGACAAGTTGGTAGTAAGGGCACCCATACATATCTAATGTATATGCAGAGCTGTGTGTGGGGTTTGAAGATGAGAATCCCAGGGACCTCATAGTTAGTAATGATTTTTTGGCAAAAGAGAGGGAAGGGAGAGAGAGGCAAACTAATGCACCTGGACCTCCAGATGTCTTGGAGTGCTTTATAGCAGTAAAGATATCACATGTGATATCATTCTTTTAACTGTCCCTCCTCCAGAGGAGAATCTGTGTAGAAAAAAAACTTGGATGCGAACACAAATCTCCTCCCATGCTGGGGAGGATGTGGTTTGAGTAGCACTCTGGCCTGAATGTGATTTCAGTTGAGCATGTCATTTTGGGGTTGCCCAGTGGAGGGAGGAGAGCTCCGTCCTGCAGCTTTTCCAGGTGCTTGGCGAAGTTACCTGAGCCGGTGGAGCACCCAGGCATGCACAGGTTGAGAAGCACTGTGCTGCGGCGGACAGTGAGTTCGGGTTTTATCAGCTGTGTGACTGCACCAGCATGGTGATGACAAGCAGGAGCATCTGGGTTGGTGGTGTTTTAGCGAGTATCCCTCACTCTTCTTCACCTCAATGAGTGTGCTGCTGTTAATAGAGTGGAAAATACAAATTTCTCTGTGCACAGCCCATGTCTGTGGGTAGGCTGAACCCTGCTGAGTCTTTGGAAACTGGACCGTGTGATTCCACTCCAGATGCATGTGTCTGTCAGTTGACGTTTTGTCTGTGGGTTGTGTTAGTGGCTTCTTGGAGGGGTGAGAGTGGAAGGAGGGGTGATCTGTAGATGAGCAATGACTTGAAGATCTAGCATAACCCTGTCTGTTTTACTTTATTGTTACAAAATGGTTAAATCTGTCCTCTAGAGATAAATGAATCTCTGATCTTTTAACCTTGGGAGATTCTACCTCCTAGAGCTGTGTCTGTGATATTTTAGAGAGTATTTGGGGCAGCAGTAAAACCGTGCTGAGGTCAGTGTGTGTGGTTGTTTCCAGAGTACTGGGCAACAGCCCTTGGGATGCTGCAGCGTGTGCTGGCGTGAAGATGCGCGTCTCCGTGGGGAGGTGCAGCACATGTGGCAGCAACAGAAAGTTTCCGTGCGCCTAAAATAGGGACAGGTTCCCGACTGTGTGGGGACGACGAACGAGTGAGGTGAAGTTACTGCCAACGTTAGCCATTGCTGTCGGGTTTCATCTTTCTGTCCATGTAAGGATGTCGTGGTGCCCTCTGATGGCTGCTGGTTGTGGGAACTGCTCTGCGTCAGGGCCTTGGGCTGACCCAGCCAACGCGTCCTACGGGCTGGGGGGGACGGGCTGGCTGATTTACACCTCCTGCGGCACTGCCCCTCAGCAGTCACCTTGGGAAGGAACACTTCATTACCCAATAAATCGATTGAACCTTCAATATTTCTGTTTAAGTATTTAACATTCTATTTAAGGAGCGGTCACTGTAGCGAACTCAATCCTGTAGTATGAGGTGCAGCGCTGTGCAGGGCACAGCGTCTTTGTTACAGTTCATCAGGTTACAGCTGTCTGGTCCTTTTTGCAAAAGAGAGCAATGCATCTTTTTTCATTAATAAATCTCCCTTCTCTTCCCCCATCTCCTATCTCACATTGTCTTCTGGTAGTTCATCAGGTTACAGCTGTCTGGTCCTTTTTAAAAAAGAGAGCAATGCATCTTTTTTTCATTAATAAATCTCCCATCTCTTATCTCACGTTGTCTTCTGGTAGCGTTAAAAAGTTGCACAAGTCCTAAATGAATGCACAGTGCTTTGGGACCTCTTGGGATGAGGTGCTGCATGGAAAACAAAATGTTAATCCCTTTGGTTGGGTTTGGAATAACTGCCTCCAGTCGGTCTCTGGATTGCAAAACTCCTTAGGTTCAGCCCGAAGAGAGCGATTTGTGGCCTGTGCCTGTGGGTTGCAGAGTTGCTCCCCTCTCGCAGGGTGAAGCCCAGCAAGGTGGGGTGGACTGAGCAGGCACCGTCCTACCACCGCTCTCGCCCTGCCTTCCTCGGGGAAGTTCTGCTGCCGTGGTTGGACCCTTTGAACCAGTGCAACTTCCCAGTCCAGAAAAACTTCAGGGAACTGTGGTTGCTGATAGGATTGGATCGGAGTACAGTTTGTGTGGCTAGAAGCAGCAATGGGGATGGACGCGAATGGGGAAGACCATCCCTCTGTCGTGGCTGTAAGTGTGGAGGGAGCGACTGGGGCGTGAGGAAGGGTGGGTTTGCAGAACATGGGGTCGAGCAAGCGCAAGAAGTCCTTTGCCACCCATAAACCGATGTGTGAGTGTCTGTCCTCCCCCTGGCTTGCCCCTTTTCTTGTCCTGCCAGGTGGGGTGGTGGCTTCGTGCAGCTGCTTTGGTATCAGTTGAAGTGCAGTTTGAGTAAGCGAGTGGTTCCTTTATGGCCTTTTCTCCTCACTCTGCTTCCCGTTCCTCAGCTCTGCCTTGTTTGCTCAAGTCAGGAAGGGGGAGGGTATGGGGGAAGTTAATCATTAAACTGTAATGTCTTCTCCTTAACTCCTTCACAACCTGGGAGCAGAGCGCTCCTGGTATTTCCAGACCCCTCTTCTGCAGACTTGTAAAAGTAAACCAGTAAATCTAGCCAAACTGACTTCTGTACCGTTAGTAAAAACAGTGGATTTCTGTCTGATGGTTCATTCAGCAGAGGGCTGAGCTGAGGAGGTGAATTTTGTGGCTAGATGGTTACATCTGCCTGTCCTGCAGTGAAGGCTGGGGGTGGAGGGTGGAAAAATGGTTTGGGTCCTGTCGGCAGGGCTGGAGGAGCCCAGCACCCTCATGGGATTTTCACTTCCTGGTGGAGTTTGATTTGCCTTTGTCATTGGTGGGGCGAAGCAAAAACCACTCCTTCTCGGACAGCACTTCTCTTGGAGGTTGTGTGCACGAAACCTCCAGTCATAGGACCTGCCTGGTTGAAGGAATTGCAGCTCTTCAGCGGTTCCCTTGAGGTATGTGCCTTTCACTCTGGAATCCACCAGCTGTTCTTTTGCTTAAGAAGAAGATTAAGTTCATTTTTCCCCAGCTGCAGAAAGCTTGTATCCCTTCGGAGAATCTGCTTCTGGGGTATTTTGTCCCCTCTAGGAAGATGCCGGTGGCTTAAATGATTTGAAGCATCTTTTTGACTAAATGAAAGGTGTATAGAGTCAATTTAAGAGTGTTTAATTTGCTAATGGCTGTATTCTGCTCTCTGAGGGCAGGACTGCCTTCCCCCCCCCCTTTTGTGATGCTTTGGTTTGTGGAAGAGAGTGAATATAAAAACAGCACTTTCCTCATCTTGTAATGCAATAATACTGTCCTTCATTTGACCCTTTAATACATTTTCTTGAAGGGTTGCTAAGTGCATTGGCTGATGTGGTCTGCTCCGCTCAGGAAGTGGCTTTGAGCTGGCAGGTGCCTGCCCTCTGAGAGCCGGTAGGCAGCCATTAGGGCGAGCAGTTGCTGGGTTGCTATTCTGGTGCTACCTGATAAATTCAGCTCCTTGTGACGCTGGTGGAGGATACTGTAGGATGGCTATGCTCCAGCTCAGCCCTCACACCCCAAATGTGAGTATCAAGTACCTGCTGTGTGCAGGAGGAGAAAGACAAGTTCCTCCAAAACAGGGACTACCTGAAGACCGTTGGGTCTGCGCAGAGGGGAGGGAGATCCAGGGGATTTCTGAGAGCCTCCTGTCCTAATTCTGCTGAAGTTGTGTTACTGTTGTCTAGCTGAATTCTACATTTCCGAAGGGACCTGCCAGGTATGTCCTGATGCTCTTATAATGGAAAGCGCTGGTGTCCCTAGCGAACCGGCTCCTCTGTAATAGCCTTAAAGAAGTGTGCACTAGAGCTTGCTGCCCCAGTGGAAAGCTGGGCACCCGGCCAGTGAGTCTTTCTTTAGAAAGTGAGTACAGTGCAGACCTGCAGTCACTCGCTGGAGTTTCCCCCACCAGGGACTGCAGTGGGCTCTGCAGGGTGGGTTCACAGGACAGAAAGTCCCACAAGTCGGGATTTGCCTGTGAGTCACTGCAGAGGAGTGCAGGGTTGGGAATGGGCAGAGGATAGTTTGTGGGGAGAAATCCAGAAAGGTGGGAATGCCTTTTTATGCCCTGTCTCTGAAGGAGAGCGTTTTCCCTGCTTTAAGATTTCTGAGAGATGCTAACTGTGTGACATGGGTTCCTCTGCCTGGCATGAGCGACAGTGTTTCTAGCTCGTGGAAGTTTTTCTTCTCTTCAGGAATTTGTGAGCAGTCTCCACCCAGCAAGTTGAGAATTGTTTCCAGGAGGAGAAATGGCGTTTACCTGGCAGCCTCTGGAAACTAGTTAACTGTTTATGTGATGAAGGATTTTTGTTAAGAAAACTGAAACGCATGCTCTGCTGCACCTATGGACTAATTTTGAAAGTTTTATGCTTCTTCCACTACCTTCGACTCTGGAGAAAACCCCTCCCAAGATCTTGTTTCCTGCAGAAAGCAGTGCCTGCGGCCACAGTAAATGACTCTGTGATGATGTGGGGCCTGTAATTAGTCTGTGTCAATATCCTGTTGCCAGTCGATCTCTGGGCAGGTTTCTCCTAGGTTGCTCTTCTGCAGGGTGCAGTGAGACTACGGGTCCCTGTTGTTGAGTGGTTTTCCAGTTAAGACAAAAATCTGAGACTGACACAGTTTTTCTGACTGCTTCGTTACCTCTTGGTGTTTTCTTTGTACTAGAAGTTTGATTAACCTGTTCAGTCCTGGGCTGCAGTAGTGTTTTTCAAGGCATTTAGTAGATCACCCTAGATGAAAAGTCTTCCCAAAGCCCTTCTGATACAGATATCTTGAACAAGACAGAAGAGGAAAAGGTGTAGTCCAGAATTTTACCTTTTTTTTTCCCTTTTTTTTCTCATCTTTTCTTTCCTGCAGACGCCTTACTGGCAGACCTGGAATCTACCACCTCACATATCTCCAAACGACCAGTGTTTCTAACAGAGGAAACACCTTACTCCTATCCAACTGGAAACCACACATACCAGGAGATTGCTGTGCCACCTCCAGTGCCCCCGCCACCTTCCAGTGAGGCCCTGAATGGCACTGTGATTGACCCCTTAGACCAGTGGCAACCCAACGTATCCAGATACGTCCACCAGCAAGTAAGTGACTGTGTGCAGGTGGGGAGGGTGCGTGGTTTTTTGTTGGTGCAATATCTCTCAAGGAAGTAGATGAGGGGAGGGAATAGCAAGAAGTGAGGATGAATTTGGCTATGAACAGAGTGGGGAAATGGGGGGAGGTGTGGGTTTTTAATAGAGCTAACTAGTTGGAGCAAATGGCAAAAAAGAATTTGAAACCCGTTGTCATTGTTCTGACAAAATGGTAGTGTGATGACATTAGTGTTAATCATCTATCTTGTAGGCTATGGAAAGCAGGCTGGGCGTTTCCAGCACAGATCTGCAACTCATAGGCAAATCTGAACCAAGTGAAGAGCAGTTTTTCCTGGTGTAGCTCATCTGATAGAGGCTGACTTGGCTATATAGCAGATTTTTTTTTTTCATTTGCTGGGCTTTGTTCTGCCCTATCCGTGTGTGGGACTGCAAGGCAGTAGTGTACATATTTGCTTGGTATTCTCTGTTTCCAATGCAAATCTCATTTCCACAGCCTCAGTCCCAGTCTCCTATATACAGCTCTAGTGCCAAAAGCTCCAGTGCCTCTGTTCCTAGAGACGGGCTCAGCTCTCCTTCTCCCCGTGCCAGTGAAGAGGAACACGTCTACAGGTATCTTATCGCTGTTAAAAGATAAGCCTGACTCGCAACTTGAGCCTGCCATGGCTCAAGCTGCCTTCTGTAAGTGGAAACAAACACTGCTCCCTGTGTATGTTATGTTGCCTTGTGTTGGTTTTGATTACTCCTTTTGTAAGAGGAAGAGGCCACTGTAACTTTCATACTCGCTTCAAATGTTGACCTGGCCCTTTGGTTTGCTCAGCTGCAGAAGAGGTTAAGGATCCATCAGACAGAACAGAATCTGGATTGTGTTGTGAAGGATATGATCCAGAGACAAATGACAAATCCATCCCCCTGTTAAGCAGCACAAAAGTTCTATAGGAGGTGGGTGGCCTTTGGGTCGGTTACCCTGAGGAGCTCAGTTACCTGCAGCCTAGCAGGATGTGCAGTGACTTGAATTTTCAAGTAAATTTGAACCTCTTAAAACTTTCATCTCGGTGTATGAAGGATAGATAACTACTTTATACTCACAAAGGCAGCAGAGGTTGGAGGAGTAGCCTGTACGGTAGGACAGACCTTTCTGCGGACATGGGGATGAGCGAGGAAAAGGCAGTTAGAACTTCATCTCTGATTGCCCTCTACAGTGCACAATGTCCTTTTTACAGTGTGGAGACCTGGTGTTTCTCTGGTGTCATGTTCTAACCATGCCTAGCTCTTTCTGCTGAGCAGGAAGTTGCTTTCAGCCAGAATTAATTCTGGGTAGAGGCAGGCATATTCAGAGATGGCCCAATGGAGGCAGTAATTGTAATTTTTTCAGATGGCTGCATGCAGTTCGTACAGAATGGAGGTAATTACAGCCATAAGTCCTCCTTACAGTCCAGACCTTGCAAGGGTCTGGCATGGCTTGGTTCTGGTGTGAATTGTAGCTTGTGTGCTTGGGTCAGGATGAAGTATGCCTTCCTCAGATTTCATTTGTGGTTTTTTGTGGTTGGTTGGTTGGTTTTTTGGTTTGTTTTTTGTTTTTGGTTTTTTTTTCAGACTGAAAAGAAAGATAATAACTGCCCTTATGGAATTCTGCATTTAATGACACCATGACAAAGTTTTTGTTTTTTGGTTTGTTTTTTGTTTTTGGTTTTTTTTTTCAGTCTGAAAAGAAAGATAATAACTGCCCTATGGAATTTCATAATTGTCACTGGTGTTATAGGTGTCAGAGTTCTAAAGCCTGTTACATATTAACTTCCTAAGCATAACCTGGTAGTGTGCACAAGACATAAGTTCCCATTTTGGATTTGGAAAGTATCTTTTTGATAAAATAAGAACCTCTAGAGCGTTAGAAGTTATTTCTTCATTTGTGAAACTAGGAGAAAATAATTTCTCCACCATTAATGATGGGAAGACTTATTACAGTGTAATTACTATAAAAATCACTGCATCGGTGCTAAGTTTTGCTTTGAAATAGTTTGCAGTTGTGTGTGGTAAATGGGATCACTCATATAGCATATGCAATAATTACAGTCAGTGTTTTATACACACTTGTGCGCAGGTAAACTTCTTTAAAGGTTTGTGTATTTAACATGGTAGAAAATAATTTCACATTACTTTCTTACAAATTGATTAGAGTTCCCCAAGTTAAAAGTTTAGGACTTGAAAAGAGACCTTGAGTGCTGCAGGAGGCTACCAGATAACCTGCTGCTTTTGACTTTCTGTTGATAGCCTGAGATTTGTACTTTGCATCTTTCTCTGGTTTATGCTAGCCCTGCATTCCCTTGCTGCAGGGGGGAAGGTTTTTGCTGCTTGGTGTGATGTCAGCAGAAACAAGTAATTTTCCTGTATGCAAGCTAATGGTTCTGCTGCTGTTCTGTGCATCTTGGATCTGCAGATGGTTAACTCTTTGCTACAGGGCTGTGCAGCACACAGTCCTAAAATCTGAGGCGCCGTCCATCAATGCTATTTCTTTGTAACTGACAACGGAAGATGTGGCTAAGCAGTGACTGTGTTGTAGTCATTTCACAAAGCACACATCTTTCTCTCAGAGCTAAAAGCATCAGCTTGAAAAGTGTACAGTACATGTGTAAACTTTGTGAACCTAACGTAAGTTTCCCTCCATCCTTCTGCTGTATCTTGACATAGAAGTTTCACACTTCCCTTTTATCTTTAGTTTCCCAAACAAGCAGAAGTCTGCAGAACCATCTCCCACAATGACCAGCTCCTCTCTGGGCAGCAACCTTTCAGAACTGGACAGACTTCTTCTGGAACTGAATGCTGTTCAACATAATCCCACCAGTGGCTTCCCAGCAGGTAAGGAGTAGCAGGACATTTGATGTGAGTGGATAGTTTGATTCTCAAAATAGTAGCCTATTTTTTTTTTTTTTTCTTCCAACATGCTTACTGAGAGAGACTCCTCCAGCCCCTGATCAAAGATTCATTGAGTATGGGTGGGATCTCTTGAGGTCTGTGGAGCAGCACCCTGCTCAAAGGAAGACCAACTTCAAAATTGGCTCTAACTAAAGTTGCAAAGTTAGATTAGGTTGCTCAGACCCTTGCACTGTTAAGTTCTGAATATCCTCAAAGACGGATATTTCACAAGATTTCTGGGCAATTTGTTGCTCTTGCTTCTGATTAGCATGTATGTGTGGACCTAGGATCAGAATGGTTCTTTTCTGTTCTTTTCTTAAGATGAAGCCAGCAGAAGCCCACTGCTGCCTAGCGTGACTGGACCTCACTATGTTGTTCCAGAGAGCAGCAGCTCTGTGGGAGGGAAGGCTGCACCCCCTACAAAAGAAAAGCCAAAGCGAAATGGTGCACGTGGGATCGAAGATGTGCGTCCCAGTGTGGAGAGCCTGCTGGATGAGCTGGAGAGCTCTGTGCCAAGTCCAGTGTGAGTAGTGTTTTGGTGGTTGCTGGCTTGGGTGGGGTGGGACAGGCTTTTGTGGGGATAGTGACTGTAGCGTAGGGGCAGATGCTGCAAGAGAGTGACAGTCAGAAGGTGGACATGTCTCTAAAGGGTCAGACATCAAGCAGGCACATGAAGATGCTGGTGCTCTTTTATCTACTCCTGGATGAAAAAATACATAAGTCATGTTACGAGAGGTGGATTGTTCAGACTTGGATTTATAGCTGATCACAAATACCCACTCTCTGAAAAAAATGAATGTTTGCTCATCGTCCATTTCTTAATGGATGGCGTGTGTGTGTACAGACTCATGTTAGACTTAGCAGAGAGACGGAGTCTGTGCGTGTTGTGGAGGCTCGATGTGGGGCAGGGCTGGCCAGGGTGGGCAGTGCTGATGAAACTCATCATGCTGTGCTTGCTTGGGGGAGCAGTGAGAATTGCAGTCTAGGAGTGCTCTCACAGGTTTAAACGCACTCTTTTTTTCTTTTCCTTCCTTTCTTCTTCCCCCCCGCCCCCCCTTTGTCAGCCCTGCAATCTCTGTGCGTGTTGTGGAGGCTCGATGTGGGGCAGGGCTGGCCAGGGTGGGCAGTGCTGATGAAACTCATCATGCTGTGCTTGCTTGGGGGAGCAGTGAGAATTGCAGTCTAGGAGTGCTCTCACAGGTTTAAACGCACTCTTTTTTTCTTTTCCTTCCTTTCTTCTTCCCCCCCGCCCCCCCTTTGTCAGCCCTGCAATCACGGTGAGCCAAGGTGAGGTGAGCAGTCCCCAGCGGGTCACGGCCAGTCAACAGCAGACCCGTATATCTGCTTCTTCAGCTACAAGAGAACTGGATGAGCTGATGGCATCTCTCTCTGACTTTAAGGTACCCTATCATGACAACTTAATACTTCATCTTGTCCCTCCCCACACCCAGACTTTCTTGCCCGTTAGCCACATCTGCTGTCCTCATTTGGTCTTCAGAATGTCCTCTTTGCCTCTCACACTTGCTCTGAGAAGCTTCCTGTGGTGATATTTGTGCTTTCTGAGTGCTGCCGTGTAGGTGTTCTCAACTCCTATAAATTCTCACCACTGGCAGAGTAAAGCAGTTCTGGGTCTGTTTTTCCTTCAGTTCTGCAGTTTTTCTGTTTGCCAAAGACAATGAGCTTAGTTACTGCTCAGTACAGGGTCAGTTGTTTTGCTGTGCTACAACTTAACAAGAGGTAGGGATGGGACACCAGTGTGCTTACTGACAGAGACCAGGGTATTCTGTTCTGTGGGATGACCCCCCTCTTTGGAGTGTGTTTTTACCCTGATGTGCTTTCTCTGAGGAGGATCTTCCAGGAATGTGGTGTGAGCACTGGAGCCGTTGCATCAGACAGCTGCAGACTTCAAAGGTTTCCGTCTTAAAACAGTATCTGTTATTCACCTCAAAATGGGGTTAAAGTCTGAGCTGCTTGTGGAGGCAGAGGATGGCAAATACTATTCAGACTCTGGTTTGGAAATCAAACTATTGTATTGGAAAAAACCTGCTACTTCAGTCACAAGTAGAACATAAAAATCCCGTAACAGGATAAGCTTAGAGGTAACTTGCCCGTGGTCATCTTGATACATGAAGCACTTGGTTTATGTACTTGGATAACTTGTTCTTTATTCGTATAGGTGTGTTATCATTTTTGCACTAAATGCTTAACTGTGGAGCTTATTTTCATGAGACTTCATTTACCCATAATCATAGCAAAACGAAAAATATTTTCTCTTCTTACTTTCTACTTTCAGCTGCTTTACTTATAGCCTTGCTGAATTACTCACTTGAATTTGTTCTGAGAGAGGTGGAGAAAGCAAATATCTAATATATTCTCTTTGTTGTCATTGTTGGGTTTGCCTTTCTTAACCACACGTGCAAGTCTGCTTTCTAATCCTAAGAAAGTTCCTAATTCTCTGGTTTTTCCTCGTATGGAAGATTCTGCTGATGCTTGGTGTTTCTTGTATGTGCTGAACTCCATCTCTTCCTACCCTGACTTTAGGTGGGGCAGCTGGAGCTGAGGAATGTTTTGTGAGGAGAGGTAGACAGGTTGTTCAGTGACAACTTTACTGTTCATTGTTCTCTCTGTGCCACCATTTGTGTGGGTGCTTTTGATGTGTGCTGTTGGTTTCATGGAGGTCATTACAATACCTGAGTTTTGACCAAGTGTGTGAATTCAGAACCCAGCAGTGAGCACAGACACTCTGTGGGACTTTGCTTGCCTTGCACTTGCTGGAATTGAATTCAGTCTGCCATTTCTGGCACATGTACTTAATTTTGTGAGAATCTAGGAGTTGCTCACTGTTTTCTCTAGACTTACCGTAGTGTGTATTTAGTCAACTGCAAATATTGACACCTTAGTGTTGCCTTTTTTTCTCCATACATGGTCCTGGGGTAGAGTGCAGGATATCCACAAGTGTCTGTTCAGTCTGGTTGAAAAACTGCACAGTGGTGAAGCTGGAGAGAGTTCCCACCTGTGCTGCTGGCATGCCCTGCCGTGCTCCTTCCGCATGCAGTGGGAGCGTGAGCGCTACGGCCTTGTACCCCTGCTGGTTTTATCAGGGCTCAGAAGACAACCTCGGGGTGTGGTTGCTGCCACCAACCTTTGCTCCTAGGTGAGCTCTTGGCAACAGAGAATGACCTTGGCCAGCACAGGTTTTCCTTGCAAGATACAAGGAGGGGACATTTTTAAGTGTGGGTGTTTCAAATGCTTTGCAGTCTTGAGCAAAGGCCTTAGAATCTTTGTGCAACTCCGATAAAACTTGTGTGACAGAGACTGGCTGCTTACTGTAATACTGCCCGCCTTCCTGGCTTAGTTTCTGGTTGAGCTCTGAGAGCAAACTGAAATGCAGCAGGATTTTAAGATTTTGCTTTATAAACACAGCATTAGTATTTTTGCGAGGCGTTGAGCTCATCTGTGTCTAAACATTCTTCCTGAAGCACAAAGAACAGGGTTTCTGTGATCATTTTCCTTTTGTTGATATTGTTGTTGGCTGTTTTCAACAGTTACTTTCCCTTTCCCTGTCCTCCAGGTTGCTTCATTTTCCCTTCGCTCCTCTTTGTTTGTTTGTACCTCCTCTATTTGTGCCAACTGGTAGTGTTGGCTAGTCTGTAAAAATGTATTTCTAGTCTGTACCAGTGGCAGGATATAAGGGAGAGAAGTGGAGTCTCTGCAAAGGTGAAAGATGAAAGGCTACCATTTGAGTACCAGACCTGTGTATGATTGCAAGAAATAGGACAGAAAAGCTAAATACGATGTGTAATTAGTTGGAGTCGGTAGTTGGTACAAGTAGAAGTTGCAGTAGGTGGGGATGGGAGGAGTGGAGACACTGATGTCTAATTTCCCTCATGCCCCAGAGTAAAAGGTGCTGTTACAGACTAATACATTATTACCCTTTTATCATCTTTTTCTCACTTGAATGAATTGCTCATTCTTTTTGCTTACAGCACCCATTTGATTTTTGTTATCTAGCTCATCAGTCAGCGGGCAGTGAGATTGCTTGATGCACTTGTTTTTTCAACCTCTGCCATTTCTGTGTAATATAATGCCTGCTTACTGCATAGCTAAATGCTTGTATTTAACTGTTCTATTACTGTTGAGTGCTTAATCATTGCTCTTATTTTGGAGCTGGTATGTTTTTAATATGCTGGAAATACTTGCTTTTGAGCAAAGTGTTAGTCTTGACGTGAAAATGACTGACTTCATTTTTAGGAAGGCTGGAAACTTAAGTGTGAACCACAGCATAAAACCAGGTTACTTTTCCAGTGCATCCAACTTAGTCAAAATACAGGGGGAGGGCAATATTGGAAAATTCCCTCATTTTAACTACTCAGTGTAGTTTTTAGTCCTTTTCCTTTCTGCTGTGACTGTGAGTCTTGCTGTGCTACTCGAGAGGAGGAGGAATCTCTAATGAATTGTGGTCCCCTGTTGCTCTTTGCTTTCTGAACACAGTCTCTCTGTAGCACTACTGTTGTCACTTCACAGATGTGTGTGCGTGCCAGCTCCTGACCCCTTGGGATGGTAGCAGCTTAGATCAGCTGAACATATATGTCTCTTCCACCCTACTGGCAGATTTTATGCATGCTGGTTAATTTTATCCTTTTGTTCATGATAAATATTTCAGAAAGGTAAGTAGAGACTCAGATACCATACATGGGCTTAGGAAGTTATGTGTCTCGCTACCTTAGAGCATAAGCATGTAACTTGTTGAGGCTTCTTTGGAAAATGTAACTAAGAATCAGAGCAGAGCTCTTGGATTTGGAAATCCTTTGTGGATACGTTTTTAAAACTGAGAGGGCTTAGCACTGGTCTTAGGTTGAACCTAACCTTGCTGTGTGAACATGTCCAAGCCACTGTTCTGATTTTTCCCTTTTTAAGAAAAAGGAGTAATGCCAGTTTATCTCCTAGCATTTATCCAGGAACCACTGAAAATGGGGAAAGAGGGACCCATGATCTTTTATTTTCAAGAGACCCTGTAAATCACGAAGAACCAAAAAACCTCTGTATCAGTTGCTCTTGTTAGAGTGTATATTGGATCAAAATTAATACTGATTTTATTACAATGTAACTGTGGAGTCTTTAGCCTAAGGGGAAGAGGCTAATCTAGCCACCTAAGCAATGCTTACAAGGGCATGGAGTGACTGACAGACTCCTATAGATTCAGTGTGTGTCATGTCCAAGGTGAGATTAGTGCTGTGAATAGAACAAAGCCCGTGTCATCTGTTCTTGCTGTGAATGCCCTGAAGCTTTGTTTTCATTGCCATGAACTCAGCCAACTGGAGCATTTTATTAGTGTTTCAAGAAGAAAATGTCATGCTTTGTTCTACTCATTGATTGCTTTTTTTTTAGCTTTGAAATGTAAAATTCACGTCTGACTATGAGTAAGTTAATGTGACCTTTACTCACAGTCTAGACATTCCTGGGTTTGTAGCTGGCTCCCCAGTGGCCGCTGCATGCCCCCATCACAGCTGCAGGTGAACACGTGGGCTACCACTTAGGAGGATGGCACAGGAGAAGGATCTTGATGGCTGTAGAACTTCATCTCCTGTAATCTCATGTGAAGATCAGCACAATGTCATACTGGTTCTGCTCTTTGATATCTCATTTTCCTTCCTTACTCTTGGAAGCACGGCTTTGGATCAACATGGTTCTTTGATTTGGAGATCATGATTGTTATAATGCTTAACTCTCTGCTTTTTTTTCCTTCTCCTTACCTCTGTCTTTATCTTTTTTGTCTCCTTATTCCTTCTGTCTCCTTTTTGCAGACTAGTTCTACTATGTCCCTGATTTCTGAGCCCTCCCTAGAAACGGTTCCCACTTCAGCAAATGCAGACTCCGGCAACACTCCTCACAGTTTAACAGTGCTATCCCGTTCCAAACACCCTTCTGCAAGTCACAGTGGGGACTGGGCAGTGCCAACATCTGCCCCCTCAGCAGTCCTCCGCATTGAGGAAGGCAGCAGCGCTGTAGTTCTGCCTGCTTCAGGGCATTCTGCCGCTCCTTCGCATGTGCCCTGTTTGCCACAAAAGGTCCCTGTGCCCCCACCACGGATCTCCTCTGGTTATGCTACTCGTGGGGAGCAGATGACCTCTGCAAGCTTGGTTCGGCCGAGCAGAAATCCTGACTCTTCTAGAAATGTTTCCCAGGCTGTGCCAGCTTCCAGTTTGGAGCTTCTGTGTAGATCTGCTAATGTGGAGGCACAAGGCCTGGAGTATGATTTGGCAAAAGAGTCTGAGAAGAAGGAGCAGAGAACTGACCCCAAAATCTCAAGTGTGCCGATTTCAAATGCTTTAAGTGGTCAGGGAAAGGGGCAGATACCTAGAGAGCTGGATCAGCAGGGAGCATTCAGGGACCATTCAGT